TACGGCATAGGCGCAGTGTTACAGCAAGACGATGGCAATGGCTATAGACCCGTAGAGTTCATGTCCGCTAGGATGCCTTCAGAGAAGGTTGCGACATCTACCTATGAGAGGGAACTCTACGCTCTCAGGCAAGCATTAGACCACTGGAAGCACTACTTGCTTGGGAGGCACTTCAAAGTCTATTCTGACCATGAAACATTACGATGGTTAAAGACGCAGGCCAAGATGACACCTAAGCTTACTAGGTGGGTCGCAGAGATAGATCAGTACGACTTCGAGCTCAAGCCTGTTAAAGGGAAGTACAATGTAGTCGCGGATGCTCTGAGTAGGAGAGCAGATTACTTTGGGGCAATAGTACACTACCTCGATATAGGAAAGGATCTGCAGCAGAAGGTTAGAGAAGCCTACGCGCAGGACCCTATCTATAGTGAGCTCCTCACGCGAGTCAAGGAGGCCCCAGAGACCGAGCCGAACTACYGCACTACTGAAGGGCTACTCTTCGAGAAGACTAATGTATTTGACCGCCTGTGCATTCCCAATAGCGAAGACATCCGTAGTTTGATTTTGGGGGAATGCCACGACACAGAGGGTCATTTCGGTTGGCAAAAGACCTTAGCCAATCTGATGCGCGCGTATACCTGGCCGGGAATGAAGAATGACTGCGTAGAGTATGTTCGCAGTTGTAAAGTCTGCCAGCGTAACAAGTCTCCTACGCGTGCCCCGTTAGGTCTTCTCAGCCCCTTGCCCATTCCGGACCAACCGGGAGACTCAGTGTCCATCGACTTCATGGATACCCAAGTCAAGAGTAGACATGGCAAGAGCCAAGTCATGGTCATAGTTGATCGCTTTAGCAAGTACGCAGTTTTTGTTCCTTTGCCGTCAGAGGCGCGTACCGACTTAGTAATACAGAGGTTTTTTTACTGTTGGGTTAGTAAGAATGGGATTCCACTGTCTATAGTTAGCGATAGAGATAGTCGCATCACTAGCCAGAACTGGCAAGAACTCATGGGAGTATACGGATCTAAGTTGTTGATGTCGTCCGGCCGTCATCCAGAGACTAACGGTCAGACAGAGCAAATGAACAAAATCCTACAGCAAGTTCTGCGCATGTACATTAGACCAGATCAGATTAACTGGGATGAGATGATGCCCAAAGTAGCTAGTGCGTACAATAACAGCGTGCATTTGTCTACATGTCGCACTCCCAACGAACTACACAAGTCCTTTCGACCGCGCAGACCGTTTGAGGGACTCAACCGCGATCAGATTCACAGATTGCCGCCCGGGACCAGGGAGTTTGCTGTACAGCACGAAAAAGAACTAGCTACTGTTGTAGAAAACCTCAGGAAAGCCCAGCATAGGATGATAGAACAAGCGAATAAACATCGTCGCCCCTCACAGTTTCAAGTAGGCGACTTAGTCTGGGTTACACCTGAGGAGAACATCTCGCAGAAGTTACTGCCCACCTATAGAGGACCGTGGCCAGTCTTAGAAGTCAAGGGCAGCGAAGACGGACCGTCCTACACTATAGAACTCCCAGCACACCTCCACACTTACCCAGTTTTCCATGCATACCTTGTCAAGCAAGTGATCAGTTTCCATCCCGTAGATCGATGATCCCACCAGATATGGATGGAAGATATGACATTGACGGTATAGTGGCTGAAGATGTCTTCAGAACCGGAGGTAGGGGTCGTCCGCAGAAACAGTACAAGGTTCATTTTAGTTATCAAGAACCGGAAGACGCCCGCTGGTTTACGAGATCTGAACTTCTAGAGACAGCTCCCGATATAGTCCGGGCCTACGAGAGACAACAGCGAGGTAAAGGTCCTGCCTTGGATTGAAAATTTCTCGGAGGACCTCGAATCTAGGCCGGCGGGAGTGAAACGGTATTCACCAGTTCGAAGTAGCTGATGCAGATCCCATGGCTCGAGCCCTCGTTCCCCAACTTACCTCTGTACAATACCTGTGTCAACTCGAAGAATTGAACCTGCGACCTGTAGAACCGCCAGTGGTAAGTAGGTCTGTCGTAGGTCTATAGGTAGCCAGGATTCGATCTGTAGACCTGTAGATTAGAAGTCTAGCTGCAGTCCTTCTAGAAGGTTGGCAAGTGGTCAAGTGGTGCAGGCAAGTGGCCAAGTGGTGTGACTAAAGCAAGCCCACGTTGTAGACGAGGACAAGTGGCGAGGTCAAACAGCAGGACCCCAGTGCAACTGCACTGCGTCGTAGGGTCGTCGTCATACAGTCAAGGGAGAGTCTAGAAAGTACCCTGTCTCTTATACACATCTAGATGTGTATAAGAGACAGGACCAACGCAGCGCAGAAGTATAAATCAAGAGGCTGCGTCCAGCCATTCATTCATTCCTGCGGATGCCATGCGGAAGCGCTGCCTTAGCAGCTTGTGCGAGGAGGTCTGCAGTGTGCCCGAAGACAAAGTGGGCAGAGAAGTGTAGTGTAGCGATAGGTAGTGGCAGCTAGCGCTGCCACAGCTGTAGCATAGCGTGTGTGTGCGTTGCGTATGATACTGAGTGTTGCGTGTGGGACATCCAGGGTGATCCAGAGTGCGAACAGTGAGTTGTGTGGACGCCCAGTCGCCATAGCCAGTTGAAGAGAACTCATATCTGGTTACGATATCTTAAGTACTGTCAGGGCGCATGTCGCCAGTTGCTGTATCGCTGTTTGCATGCAAGACGAGTGTGAATAATCGGAGTGTGAATGCACAGTCATCTTTTATTGTTTATTCAACTTTATTCAAGTTTATTGATGGCGCAAGACATGTAAACGATATGTCGGTAAGGTTGTCAATGTAGCCCTGATCGGTCCGCAGCCAGGCGGAATCGAACCAGTCACCTCGGCTCTAACAGCCGATGCCTTTATAAGTTTATACCACTGCAACTGTGAACCGGTGTTCAACATGGACTGTAGAAAAGCAGAAAAGCAAAGACGTGTGGAGGAGAGTGGGGATTCTACACAATTTTTTTCTTTTCCGCATTTTTTTTTTTCTTTTTTTTTTTTTGGCGCTGGGGCTGGGGCTGCCGGAACCCTGCCCGGGGTTCATGCCTGGCCAGCCACACGGGCATGTATCCAGGCACAAGTTGGGAGCCCGGGCGCCCGGCCAAACAGCCTAGATGCATACTTGTCTTTATTTGTTTCTTTCCATACAGGAAGACGGCCCTGAGATATCATCATTGAATTGACCAACCACAGGTAATCAAGGTTATTTATTATTTAAATTTTATTTTACTCTGCTCATCTGTTTGCATCTGGATACGAACTTGGGTCTGTATTTCAACAGTTCATGGATGCATACTTGTTGTATGAGTCAAGCCACTCGGCTTCTGTGCCACTGAAAGCTCCACGTGCGACTTGCTCGCCGAACTCCTGCGTCCAGTCAGTGTCTGACACCTGCTCTGCAAATTCATCTGCCCATTGATCCTTCAACGGAAGGAAAACGAAAAAGAAAAAGAAAAAGAAATCGAGGAAAAGAAGAAACCCCCCACCCACATCAACCGTTCAAACCTAGTCAATGCACCATCATCTTCCCAAATTGGAATCATTAGATTCTTTCTCTTTTTGGAAAGAAAAAGGTGATGCCCCCGCCCCATCCCCCCCCCCCCCCCCCCCCCCCCCAATCTCCCTGTGAGTATCTGACATTATTATACCTTTGTGTGTACCCTTCAGCATCAACAGTTTGTGTGTACCACTGCACCCCAATTATACCCCAATTAATGATGCATCAGCCACAGGAATTGGAGAGTTATTGGACCCCTTTTTCTTTTTGGAAAAGGAAGGGCATAGCCCCTGGCATTATTGTCTCTTTGTGGGTACCCTTCGGCCTCAACGATTCGTGTGTACAGTGTACCCCAATTATACCCCAATTAATGATGCATCTGTGACACAAATTGGACCCCTTTTTCTTTTCGGAAAAGAGGGGGGGATAGCCCCTGGGATTATTGTAGCTTTGTGGCTACACTATCCCCCAGGGATTATTCTGGTTTTGTGGCTACCCTACCCCTATGCCAACAGGTACACACACGTCCAATACTGGCTTGTCCTACAGCCAGTCCCTTTCTCATCAGAGTGCACTCACACTAGCACTTCCATGGCTGCATCTGGCCACAATTACGACTGCGCACGGACGAATCTGACCACAACTATCGCTAGAGCTAATCAAAAAACATTCTAGTGTGGGTATGCCCTCACTTTTCTTCAGAAACCTTGGGAACAAGAGATGGATTCACATCGCTCGGAAATCAAGTCCGAAGAAATCTGCGTAACATAAAGCTACTTTTCAAAGTTTTCGAGCCGAGACGCTTCGAAATACTTGCGTCCCATGTATCGGTTATCAACGTCATCAGTCATCCTTGAACAAGTGCGAAACATCATTCATTCTTGAATGAAAGAGGGACACCATTCGCTCTTGGACGAAATCCGATACAGCCACACCCATGTCATGGACGACGGGATAGCAAGCACTACGTTTCCTGGGCATCATGGTCAACAAGGAAGGAGTATGGCCAGGAATGGGTCAGAGAGCCTAATTGCCAGGGCAATTACCCGCTGCCGCTTGACCCTATGCAAAAACACTCAAGCCTCATTAAGCGGACGCGCCCTATTAATTAACACAACAATCCTCTCCACGCTGTGGTACATGGCATCCATCTGGTCTCCCCCTGACGACGACCTCAAGACGTTAAAAAACAGGGTGAGATGCTATCTGTGGACAGGAGATCCCAACAGGACCACATGTATCAACAGGGTAGCCTGGAACCACATTACTACAGTCTTCCCCCGAATACAACGCACGGTCATTATAGCCGAATTTGGTCTATCTTTCAGTCTAAATTCGGCTATAATGACCGTATGTTGTATTCGGGGGAAGATTGTAGGAAACCACAGGAAGGGGGCCTTGGGTTAATAGACCCCAAACATGAGTCCATAGCACTGCAGATGAAATGGATTATCAAGATCCTGATCAAACAATTCATTCCATGGACCCAGATGGCTCTAGACAATATCAGAAACCTGGCGCCCATCAACTCCCCCCCGAACATGAGAGGTCTCTACTTGCTTATGGCGAAGGACTGGACAATCAAATCAGGCAGCCCTCGCAAAAGAAACCCAGCAGAGCCTATCACAAACCCCACTCAAACAGCTATCTCATATTGGAGCCCTACCATCACAGCCTGGCGTAGAATGATGCCAAGCAAACACGGTTCACCAGGAAACAGAGAAGAGGTCCTGGGACAACCTCTCTTCTGCAACCCTTGGATCATCGACCCTAGCCGAGTGTCGTGGACACTACGCACAAAAGACCGAAGATGGTTATCCTGGGTGGAAAAAGGTGTATGGCAGGTGAAACACATCTGGGCAGATGACCGAGGACGATGGGATGGTCTACTGAACAGGAGCTACAAAATGTCTAAAAAGGCTGTCACTCCCTCACTGAAAACCTAACGCTGATTCAGAAGAGCGTTCCAACACAATGGCTCTCCCTCCTAAGGGAGGACTTCTCGTGGAAATTCGGGGATTGGGGCATACTCATCTCCCAAACCCAGCCTACCAGAGCATATCGATTTGTCTCTTGAACCAACCCACTCAGCTACCTATCTAAATTCTATACAAGAGCTGGAAATCCAAAACAAAGAACCTTAGTGCGACACACTAGAAACCTTCCGACACACTACAAACCTTCCGACTGGACCAGGATAACCTCCATCCCGCTGCGACCTCTCTCAGAATTTCCTGATCTCTTCGCGCCATCTGCACACTCAATGGTTGAAGCTCATTGGTACACAGGTGAATGAAGGGATCTCAGCAGCGGAATCAGCAGGCGACAGGGAGGAATCTCAGCCCAGGCTGTTTAGCTAAGAAGACAGCTTTTTCAAAAAAGCAACAGGATCCCTTGAAGAAGGGTGAAGAGGCTCCTTCAGTACTGCTCAGTCAATCCCCTGGGACAAACCAGGGCAATCAATGCTGGCAGATACCATGACATTTTCTCATAGTTGGCCAAGTCTGTTATACTCTAAGGGACCCTGGACCCGATTTCCAGCAGGTGTCGCTCCCCACCAATAGACTGGAGCCAACCGCACGTGTTGCTAGGGGTGTCTGCTCTTACCAGCACCCCTAGCAAACCCGGAGGGTCTCAAAGGCCAAACCGTGGAAAGTCTTCCAACCTGATCTCGGCATTTCAGACCTCGAATTCGACCCGAAAGAGTGGGTTTGGAAGCAGGGCAAGTCCGGGAGAACGAGGACAATATTTGAATATGATGTCAAATTCGGTTATGAATTGGGTCTGCTCCACAAGAGGAGGAAACATACAAACCCTGACAGCTCTGAACTATGCAGGTTGTGCACAGACGACATCCAGGAAGATATACCCCACTGCCTCCTGTACTGCATGGAAGCAGCATGGATATGGAACAAGGTGCACGACCTATGGTCCCTCCTCTTCTCATCACCCCCTCCGTCCACAACTCCCCTGAACATCCTGCTCCTATGCATCAATACTAACAATCTCAAAGGCGGCATGGAAGTCTGGTTTCACCTGCACAGGAAGCTGGCTCTATGGGTAATCTGGAAAAGGAGGTGGACGAAGACTATTAAGGGTACTGAGGTGGCAAGGGAAGAAATGTGGGTTCTACTGCTGGGAATGGCTGAAACTGAGATTCGATCCAGATGGAGGGAGGTGACATCAACAACGAAAGTCAGACCAGAAAGGCTAACTATCAAGAGACGGGCTTTCATGAGAAACTGGCTTCTACAGGGAAAGATTGCAGCTGTGGCAGATAACAGATTGATTTGGAAGAAATGGCACAGCACAACTCCGACAAGGACGATGACCCAGTGATGGGCAAACTGAGATTGCAATCTCAACAATATAGACAACTCTCCTCTTTTCTTGATTTACACGAATCATCTGACAGAGTCACTGTAGATTCTGAGAGGAAAAGTGGTAGGGCAAGCTGACAGTCAATCCTCCGGATCTGGAGCTATCAATGCTGGTCAGGGTTCCCTCGGCCAGACGGAAGGAAGCGTGAGTGCTCACCATGTATTTCAATTCTTGACTTGTCGGTGGAAAGGAACTAGACTGAAGCTTCCCAGAATGGATATGGAGCCAGGACCATAAGGACCTATTTCAACCTCCTCCCCCCCGCCCCCCCTCCCAAAAAAAAAAAAGGAGCGAGAGGGAGAGCATTCAGTGGCACTGCACGAAAAGGAGCGGAGGAAGGGGACTGTTCTGTGCACTTTGCCACTTACCACTCCTTGGTCGTCGAACCCCTCGCTAGTTTCAGACCTTCGTCGGCGCCAATCCCCTCGATTTTTGGACCGACTGCCACACCTTTTGGGCCTTTGACGCCTACCATACTTTGCAGCCAAACCCCTCTACTTTTGGCTGCTGGCTCCATACTATGGCCCTTGACTCCCTCAAGGCGACCCCCACAGGGGAGGAAGGTGAATGTCCCAGGTTTGACGTCAGGGGACATCTTTTGCACATTCGGCGCCCTACCTGCACTATGGCCCATGCTGAACATCAATGTCAATGCTATCTGTAGCTTCCTTGTATACATGGCCGCTTTCTCCAGAGGGCGTCAGTAGTAGTGGCAACTGAGGGGAAAGGGGCCACGGAGGCAGATTGCAAGATGCTTTATGAACAACAAGCAATTGGAAAGGGAAAGAGAGGAGGGAAGCAGGGGGTGTTAAAAGGGGTTTCAAAACCCTCAATGTATGTAGAAAGACATGGATGTGGATCACAAGATGCTTTATGCACAACAAAAAGGGGGGGCATTGGAGGAACTCACAAACATACGCTTTTAAACCACCAGTACTTCCGAGGCACTTTTCTTCGACGCTGGCCGCGCCCTGCGCACCGAGAAACGAACCAGTGCGGGCCATTAATCAAATTTATCAACGGCCGTATATGCCCCAAAATTTGCGGCGCGTATACGACAAGAGGGTCCGCGACCGATGTACGGCCCAAGTACTGGTGGTTTAAGTGTTTACGTGCAGGTGAAAAGCGAAAGAGAGGGGGAAGCAGGGGAGTGTTGAAACTTGAAAGGGGTCTCAAAACCCTAAATGTATGTAGATTGGCATGTCAAGCTGAATTACATGCAAATGAAGTAGAGCAGTGAGTGTCCGCACTTGCACATGCACATCCGGGGCACAGACACAAACACAAGAACGAGGCAGCTCCAACACCAGCACTGCTGAATCATGCCTACGGCGTGTTCCCACTAAGTGGCGTTTTTTGCCTTTCTTCCTTTTGTAAAACCTGCCAGACATGCACATCAGCACTTCCCTGACTGTATATGGCATCATTCAGGGCCAGATTCAGTCCCTAGGACCCTATCATTGGCCTGGATAGCTGGCGTCATGACGGCTTTGGAAAACATGCACGTGCATTGAGAAAGAAAAAAAAAAACGCAGAAACTGCAATCCCTGCTGCCTGACTTGTGTCATTCCTTTTGCTTTGAGGATCTGGCGGGTCCACCAGCCCAAGCAAACTGGTAGAACCAATCATTTAGCCATGACCAGCACATGGCATGGCTACCGGTCAGCGACACAACGCTGCCGTCCGCGCACCTCATCAGAATGCCCACAAGGGACACCGTGTGCAATGAAAATCTCCCTAACACCGTCCAAAATGAGATCGCAACCGTCCAAGCACTCGATCCACTGACATCCATCAAACCATGTCATCCAGGTCAGCGTGCACGGTTAGTCTGCGGTCGATAGTTTTTTAGAGGGTGAGTAGATAAATGGGGCGAACCTGCTGTCGGCTTGCATGTGAGAACTCATTCACCCACGACTTTGGCCCATGCTCCTCCTGAAACTCCGCGGCCCACTCACTTGCTTTCGATTCCACACCAGGCTTAACACCATTCTCATCGAAAATCAGCTCACCTCTGCTCATCTTCGAAACAAACTGCAGAAAACGCGAATTCTGCAAAAAGGAAAATGGACATGCCACGGTGAAAAGGGATGTACAACAGGCACGAGAAATACCTCTTGTACTAACCAACCATTGTACAAGTCCATGTAGACTATTCAATGTATTCATTGATTGATTAGTGCAGAGTTGGTTTTATTTTGACCAAGACTGACTACTCCCTGCCGACCGACCGTCAGTATGGGTGGACTAACTGAAGCCCCGGTTCCACATTCAGATGAACCTGCCCGCCTGCATTCCTCCAGAGCTGAAAAACATTCGTTGAATCAGGCTACTCTATCGGATCCTCAGAAGTGGTTGCTTTTAGGTTTTTGTGGCGTAAGTAGGTTGCAGCAATAGAAACCACCACTGTCCCCTATGTCAACCGAGGCCTGCGGTGCTATGCATGCTCACCAAGGAAACGTCGGCCTACCGCCGCCGAATGCGGAGGGGGTCACAGTGCCCAAAATTCTGAGTGCACAGACTTCCGTGATTTTTTGTGATCATCATTTTTTGAGAAAAGGAAAAGTCAGGGAAATGACGGAAGTAGTTTACGCGCTGAAGTGTCCCGGAAAAATATTAAAGAAAACAAAAATGTCATGGAACTGGACGCTGGACCCGTTTTCCAGAAGGTGCCGCTCCCCACCAATAGACTGGAGCATCCCGGATTCTCATTAGGGGGGCTGCTCTCATCACCTCTCCTAGCGAGGAGACTGGTTTTCCGGGCGGGGGGGGCGGACGGGCAGGAGAGGGGAAAAAAAAAAAAGAGGAACTTCAAGACATGCACACCATCAACGTCATGCATGAAACACATAATGCACAATGAATGATAAATTAATAATCGCAAAGATATGGCAACTAGACCAGCATCAAGGCAAAGGAAAGAGAAGAGCAGGAGCCGGAGGATAAAATCAATCAATAGTCAATAAAGATACAACATCATTTCTCGCCCTCCCACTTCCACCTTCGGTCACTTCCCTCTCTTCTCGCCACCTCTTTGTAAACATCTCTCTCTCTCTCTCTCTCTCTCTCTCTCTCTCTCTCTCTCTCTCTCTCTCTCTCTCTCTCTCTCTCTC